TCGGTCCACAATGGCAGTGTCCAAAATACCTGCAGCAGAGCAGAATCCACGTTCAGAGACAGCACAGGGGGCAAGAACATCTCCAGGAACACCTCAATTCTCAAGGCACTCGACTACGAGCCCCAAGGCGCCGTTCCCAGCGTGCCAGCAGCAGATCAGGGCACGGAGGCTGCACGCAGACAAATCGTGGGGGGTGAAACGTGGGGCACGGAGCCACAGCTGCTGGGTTTTTACCTCCAGAACCATCCTCTCACAAGCAGAGCCGTGAGATTTGGTCAGGAAGGAGGGAATTTTGGGAGGGTTTGGGCATCCTGATGCTGCACCCCCAGCTCCTCGAGACTTGCTGATGAAGCGTTCAAGTTTGTAAACAGGATTAAACAGCTGAAGCGTTAGGATAAACCCAGGCTGCTTCCGAATGAAGGGTCCTGGAAACCAAATCCTTTCAGAGATTATGTCAAAGAAAGGCTCCGTCCAGGAATTTGCTCTCAGGAGCCTTTCTGCTAGCTCATTTTCCATCCCTTGGAGCCCTTCACCGCCCCCTGAGCACAGGGAACAGCATCCTTTATGCAAAAACGCAAGGAAGGTGAGGAATTTACTCTGGTTTAGTTTATTCCAGCCCTTCTTAAGGAATAATCACTTAGGCACAGCACAACTGTGCCCGCCGGAGGTCTGCATGCCCCTAACAAGCTGCTGGGTGCTTTTGGAGGAAAAAAGGAAGAGGCTCTGGGTGGAAATATGATGAGCTGGGAGCGAGGAGGAGGCAGTCCCAGTGCAGCAGAGGCCACCAAATGCAGGTTAGGGCTGCATCCTCCCCCTCTGTGCCTTAATCCTGGACGGAAACGCAGCTCAGGGAGACCAGGGATCTTTTTATTCACAGCCTGGGGGTTTTAGAAAGCTCCTCGGGACTTTTGCACGGCACAGAGAGCAGCAGGCTGGTGGTCAAAGCCCTCAGGTGTGAGATAATTAGCACAGGCAGCAGACGAAGCCTTGGGAAGGCCGAGCACTCCCTACCTCCTTTGTGACCCTGGAAGGTTACGGCGCAGCTGGCGTCTTCCACCGACCAGATCTTTAGCTGGGCGTCCATTCCCCCGCTGAGAACCACGAGGCCCGACGGGAAAAACCTGCAACAATTCACATCATACACATGGCCTTCCAAAAGTCTCTGGAAAAACAAAGAGCTCCGTGCTAGTTCCGTCGTCGTCACCCTCGCGTCAAGCAGTTCCTGAGCTCGCAAACTCAAGGTGAGGAGCTGGCAGCTACCGTCAGCACCCCGGCTGTAAATCCCAACCACCCTTCCTCATTTTCACCCCGGGACTCTCCCCCTCTGCCTGCTGGGCTTCAATTCTTTCTGGAGGAGATGGGTTTACCAGCAAACACCCCATAAAACCCCCAAAATGTCACATTTCCGTGAGCTTTTCAAGCAAAAACCAAATTCTTGCTGGCCCCAGAGCACAGGGGGCGAACAGCCTGCCCAAATCCACGGCTGAATGATTTTAGTAACAGCACGGGCAGGGTTTAAAACACCACAGCCAGCTCTTACTCTGATTTCTCCGTTCGCAGCCTGCCAGATTTTCATGGTCCCGTCCGTGCTGGTGGACACGCCGAGCCCTCCGCCGCTGGAAATATCCAGGCAGGTCACCTGCAGGAGGACAAAACAACAAATAGCAGCTCGGGAGGATTCTGTACGCAAGTATTTCTGCTCAAAAACGTTTTTTTACACCACCTGGAAGTTTCCTTACCCCTAGCTGAACGTTTTCAGCCTGATAACGGTCTCCTAACATCAAACATCCTTCAGCCAGGACTCACAGGCTCTCTCCCCTCAAATTCTCAATACATTTTCTGAGATTTTATCTAAGCTTTTCTTCAGGAAATCAAAACCCAAGCGGATCCTGAGCATCAGGCTTCCTCCACAGGAGAGAGACAGCACAAAAAGAAACCCTCCCCGACTGATCTCCGGGCTGACCTGCAGCCAGCGGGACTGAAACCTGGCCCAAAACCCCCCGGATTTCTTGTAATCGCCACCAATCTGACAAAGAAATTGTTATTCCCTGCCTGTCTCTCTGCAGAGATCCACAAAGCAGCGAGGGGAAAGAAATGCTGAGTCAGGAGCCTGCAGAGAGAGCAGCCGTGTTGTGGGTTTCCCCCAGGTGAAGCAGGAATTGGGATTTTTCAGAAGCTCCCCGGTGATTCCTGATGCACTTTGGGGGGGGTTTTGCTGAGAGGCGACAGCTCGAGGCCCCAGATTTAAGGAAGATGCTCTCAGGGAGGCCGTTTTAGGAGGTGTGCCCGACTTTTTCAGGCACAAGTTCCCCTAAATAATCACGAATCAGCCCAAACTGCTCTCTGGGACAGCGATTGCTCACACCACGGCCAATTTAAGCAGGGCCCAGCTCAATACCCAACCTCCATTAAAAAAAAAAGAGGGGTTTGGGGATTAAAACAGGAGTTAGAAGCACGAGGTAATGGCTCAGCCATTACAAGAGCCATTAAACACGTTTACTCACAGATTGTTAACATTTTCTTTAACTAACCTGTTGCAATTTGCTCCCTCTCGAGCAAAAACCAGCCCAGGAAGGAGGTTTAAGGAGGAAAAAAAACCCTCGTGGACTTTTGGCGTGTCCACGAGCTTTCAGGAGGGCTAAGGAAGCACGCAGGAGCGCCGAGAACAGGAGGCAGCAGGTAAATAGGATTTATTATTTTTTATATTTTTTAGTTTTTTTTCCACCTCGGGTTAAGCACTCAGCAAACTCAGAGCGCTTCCCAGCAGGGCCCAGCTACGCCTCCGAGTGCAAAAAAATTAATTTTTTTTGGTGTGAATTGGCCATTTTGCAGCACTCTGAGCGAGGAGCTGCACTTGGTGTATCCCCAGATTAGTCCCGTGGTTATTGAAATGTGAAGAAATGCAAGAAAATGCTTAAAAAAAACCTGCAAGTGCTGCAAAAATCACATCTGGTGCCCGTGGTGATGGGCAGTCCGAGTTTTTGGCCCAAAAAAAACAGTTAAAAAAATAAGAAACCAGCCCCAGCAACCTGTTCTGGATCCCATAAATGAGAAACCTGCCCCAGTTCTGGATCCCACAACTCGCTGCTGTCTCCTCAGCCCTAAGCCCCGCTGCTCCCAGAGGAAGCAGCCCAAATTTTGAGGGCACTGTCATAAAACTCAGCCCAGCACCTCTTGGGTTTCTCTAGTTCTTCAGCTGCCACCCTCAGATTTCTCTGTAATTACTCCTCTACTACATCCCCTTGCAGGAAACCTCTAAAATATACTTCAGTGCTCACCTCAACACCTTAATATGGAAAAAAATACCAATATTCTAGGAAACAGAGGGAATTTGGGATTCTTACGGGCTTGAGATCACTCTGAATTTGTTAAAAAAGGAAGATTTTTAGTCACAGACCGAAGCCAGCCCTCGTTATCGGTCCCACCTGAAGGTTTGGTGTCTTACAAGTTTCATTTTTGAAGCCTGCAGTACCCTAGAATCACGTGCACATCGTGATTAGTCATGAAAAAAAATGGTTAGTTTTGGAAATCCAGGCAAGAATCAAAAGGATCTTGGGCTTTTTTTGGGGGAAGTTTAACCCTGATCGTGCGGCTGAAGGCTGGGATGGCGCCGTGAGCTTACGCTTTTCTGGTGGATTCTGGAGAAGGTGGTGAAGGGCGCCAGGAACTTCGTGGAGACGTTTTCGTGAGGGCAGGAAACGAGGATGCTTTTCTGGAGGAGGAAAGGGGAAAAACAGAAGCGTGTTAGTGCCGCTGGGATGGTTCTGAACAGAGGGGCTCCAAATCGGAGTTGGGAGACCCCGAACAGCTCAGGATCCCTCAGGAGAGGGATTTTGGCTGCCCTAAGACCACGGCCACTTCACGCAACCCCCCCCAGCCCCAGCACCTTGGTGATTTCGCCGACCACGAAGCCCTCGGAGGCGGCGATGTCGGGGACGCCCTCGGTGCTGAGCCCGCGGCGGGTCAGGCTGCCGTACAGCGTCGGCTTCCCTGCGGGGAGAGGGGCTTTCAGCTTCACCCTGACCCCCCCCCCAGCCTACAAGGACTCCCCCAGCCCCTCCCCAACCTACAAAGCCCCCCCCAAGCCTTTCAGGACCCCCCCTCAAGCCTTTCAGGACATCCCCTAAAGCCCCCCCAAGCCTTTAAGGCTCTCCTCCAGCCCACCTCCAGCCTTTAAGATCCCTCCTCCACCTCCCCAATCTTTCAGGACCCCCCCCCCAAGCCTTTAAGTCCACCCCCAGTGCCCCCCAAGCCTTTAATACCCCCTCTCCATCCCCCCCCCAAGCTTTATGGGTCCCTCCTACCCCCCCAACCTTTAAGGACACCCCCAATGCTCCCCCCCTCGCCTACAAGCCCCCCCCCAAGCCTTTAAACACCCCCCAGCCCACAAAGACCTCCTCCAGATCCTCTCCAACCTAAAAGCCCCCCCCTAAGCCCTTAAGAACCACACCCCCCCAGCCCCTAAGCACCCCCCAGCCCCCAAAGACCCCCCCCAAAAGCCCTAAACCCCCCCCACACACCCCTAAGAACCCCCTCCCCAGCCCTTAAGGCCCCCCCCTAGCCCCTAAGGACCCCCCCCCAAGCCTTCAAGGACCCCCCCCAAGAGCCCTTAAGGACACCCCCAAACCCCTTAAAGACCCCCCCGAGGCCTTAAAGACCCCCCACGCCCCTTAAAGACCCCCCAAACCCCTTAAGGGCCCCCTCAGAGCCCCTTAACCCCCCCAGCCGCCCCCTCACCCCCTCACAGCCCCTCAGAGCCCCTCCCCAATCCCCCCTCAGCGCTCACCCGGGCTCCTGCAGCTAAGCCAGGCCTCACCCTCGTCCCTCCTGTGGAAAAAAAAAAAAAAAAGCATCGGGGGTGAGACAGGGGCCGGTCTGGGGGGGGGGGAAGGGCCCGGGCCCGGCTCCCACCTCAGGGCCCGGCTCCAGTCGCTCTGGATGCGCAGCGCGGCCGCCATCTTGGCGAGGCGCCCTCCTCCTTCCCGTCAGCCCCCGCGCGGCGGAAGCGGGGCTGCGCCGTCCAATCAGCGCGCGGCCTCTCTCCCCGCTCCCCGGCGGAGCCCCGCCCACGGCGCGGGAACCCGGAAGCGGGGCTTAAAGGGGCCGCGCCGCGCTGCTCGGGTGCGGGGGGCACCCATGGGTGCATGGGGGGGAGGAGCTCGGGGGGGGAATAAGGGGGTGCTGAGCACCCATGGAGAGTGTATGGGTGTCCTGGGGGTGCTGGGTGCCCTGGGGGCTGCTGGGCACCCCTGGGTGCATTAGGTGTTCTGGGTGCCCTTTGGGGGTGTATGGGGGGTGCTGGGTGCCCTGCGGGGTGTTGGGCACCCATGGGTGTATGGGGAGGGTGCTGGGTGCTTGGAGGGTGCTGGGCACCCATGGGTGCATGGTGGGTGGGTGCTGAGCACCCCTGGGTGCTTGGGGGGTTCTGGGTGCCCTAAGGGGGTGTAGGGGGGGTGCTGGGTGCCCTGCGGGGTGTTGGGCACCCATGGGTGCATGGGGAGGGTGCTGGGTGCCTGGGGGGTTCTGGGCACCCATGGGTGCCCTGTGGGTGCTGGGTGCCCTTTGGGGGTGTATGGGGGGTGCTGGGCACCCATGGGTGTATGGGGAGGGTGCTGGGTGCCCTGGGGGCTGCTGGGCACCCCTGGGTGCATTAGGGGTGCTGGGTGCCCTGAGGGGGTGCATGGGGGCTCCTGGGTGCTCTGCGGGGTGTTGGGCACCCATGGGTGCATGGGGAGGGTGCTGGGTGCCCTAGGGGGTTCTGGGCACCCATGGGTGTATGGGGAGGGTGCTGGGTGCATGGGGAGTGCTGGGCACCCATGGGTGCATGGGGGGTGCTTGGTTCCCTGGGGAGTGCTGGGTGCCCTAGGTGGTGCACAGGGAGGTGCTGGGTGCCCTGGGGGAGTATTCAGCACCCATGGGTGCCCTGGGGAGTTCTGGGTACCCTAGGTGGTGCACAGGGGGGTGCTGGGCACCCATGGGTGCATGGGGGGTGCTGGGTGTTCTGAGGGTTGCTGAGCACCCATAGGTGGGGGGTGGCAGGGTGCTGGGTGAGCGCCCCCAAAATTCAGGGGAGGCAGCACCCCAATGTCCCCCCACCCAATTCACCCCCAAACCATCTCCAGCAGCGGGGCGATGGCGAAGCCCGGCCACTCCTGGAACCGCCGCAGGTCCAAAAAGGAGGAAGAGGAAGAGGAGGAGGAGGAAGGCGAGGACCCCGTGGACGCGATGATCGCGCGGACGGGCTGCACGGTACAGCACTGGGCGCTGCAGGAGTGCATGGCCGAGCAGCGCGACTGGCGGCGCTGCCAGCCCCACGTCCAGGCCTTTCGGGACTGTATGGCCCGGCAGCAGCGCCCGCGCCCCCAAGACCCCGAGCAGCCCCAACGCTCACCCCCGGGGCACTGAGACCCCCCCCAGGGGCTAAAATCCCCCCTTGGGATCCCCCACCAGGCACCAGCACTACCTCCAGATGAGGCGCCCCAAAGATGGGGGCTGTGCTAAATCATATATATCTGATTTTTCTATTTTTTGCTATGTTCTACCTGTTTTTGTTCAGCGGGTTGCTGGCGTGGTGAAATCCGTGTTTAATTTGGGGCCAGGAAATTAAATTTTGATGTGGTTCATCCTCCCGGCTCGCGTCGTTCTGCACAGTTTGGGCGTGGAAAAAGTCGTGGCGCTGTGGTGATGCAGGGCTGAAACTGGGGGTGTGATACAGATTTATAAAATCCCCGAATTATTGGGGTTGGAGAAGTCCTCCAGGACCATCAGGTCCAAAAACCCCCTCCCACCAATGTCACCACCCAGCCGTGTCCCCAAGCACCACGTCCAACCTCTCCTTGAACACCCCCAGGGACAGGGACTCCCCCACCTCCCTGGGCAACCCGTCCCAAGGCCTGAGCGCTCTTGCTGAGCAGAAATGTCTCCTCATTGCCAACCTGAGCCTCCCCTGGCACAACTCGAGGCCGTTCCCTCTGCTCCTGGCCCTGGTTCCCTGTGAGCAGAGGCCGCCCCCCAGCTCCCCACCCCTTCCTTTCAGGCAGTTGCAGAGAGCAATAAGCTCTGCCCTGAGCCTCCTCTTCTCCAGCCCAAACCCCCCCAGGTCCCTCAGCCGCTCCTCACAGGACTTTCACTCAAAGATTTTCTCACAGCATTCGCTTTGGGGTCGCTGGTGCTGAGGCATCCCAAAATGGCGGGCTCGCACCAGGCCATGTGGGAGTCTGGCGCTGCCCTGCTGTGGATTTCCCTCCTCTGTGCCTTCCTGAAGCTGTTCCTGGTGGCAATAACCTCGTATCCCATGTGACATGGATTTGGGGGATGCTATTTTCTGTGAAGCCCCAAGAGGGAAGGGGCTGGGGGCTCTTGTAGGGCCGTGAGCCTTCCCTCACTCCTCATAGCACAGGAGTATGAGGTGGGATGCCTCAGCCCCACAGAGCACCACCTCAAGGCCCAAAAGCTGTAAAAATCGACTCAAATCTTCCCCTATTATGTTGAAAGGGGAGTGTGCCCCCAGCTTTGGCCCCAGGGGAGCTTCCTAAGGAGGGGGCTGCAGAGTGGCTGCATTTCAGCAGCCCAAACCCCAAAACTCCCAAAACTGGGGGAAGTTTTTCAGTCCCGGTCAGGAAACCTTAGTGAGGCCGGTCAGCTGGAGGCAGGAGGGCACTGCCTGCATCTGCTGCTGGAGATTTCTGTAGGGAAATGGTTCATTTCCCAGTGAAATGTCAAAAAATATATATTTTCCTAACTTCCTCTTAGTATTCATCAAATCAAGGGCTCAGACTTGGTTGTAATGTTCCCAAAGGATGGCACGATCAGATCTCATCTCAGCCTAACTAAAAAAAAAAGCCTTCACCACTGGCTTTCGGAATTAGAAATACAAGGAAAGGAGCAAAAACCTGGCTGCTGGGACCTGTTTGCGGGCTCTGGGTTTTATAGGATGGCAAAACGTGGCCAAATTCGGGACAAACCTCGGTCCCGCATCTTGGTGGATTGCAGCGGCGTGGCAGGGCTGATCAATATTCCTGTGGGGGCGCAGAGCCGTCGGGCTGTGGCTCTGCAACCAGCTCGGAATCAATTCCCCGGCTTTGCGGCTGCTGCAGGGCTGAAATCCTCAGCACCAAAAAAAAGGAAAAGCAGCCTGATTTTCCTAAGCGTGCTCATTGTAACAACAGGGCTGAGCTTATGGGTCTGTTTCTGAGGTGAACTCGGCCTAATTCTGCCTCACAACAGCAGCACGACTCCCTGAATACACCAGAAGCTTCCCTTGCACAAAACAAACACGAAAAGGGATCAAATTCAGATTTTACTTGCGCCCCCTGCCCAACAAGAGACACCATCCTGGGAAATTCCCCAACCCACTTTGTGTTTGGTCCTTCCAAGGCAGGCTGATTTCTCCCCTTCCAAAGGGCTGTGGTAAAAAAGGAGACTGACTTCAGAGATCCAAAAGGAAACGCATCCTTTACGGCCGTGAAAGGCAAAGCAGAAACGGAGGAGGGATTTTGCAGACAGCTCCAACCTTCCTGCCTCTGCCCTCCGAGGCTTTGTGCTCTTAAGCAGCGATTGTTCAGCTGCTCAGGGATGATCGCCCCCGACCCTCCCAGGGCTCTGAGGCTCCATTCATGTTGGCAAAGCTCTGATTTAAGCAGCTGTCCGAGAATAACACGATGTTCCAGCCTTCAGCTGCAGAACAGAGCAGGATGGGCCCTTTTGCATCAGTAGCATCTGGGAGAATTTGCTTGCAGCGATGAGAGAGCGTCTGCAGGAGGCTGTTGGGGCTGGGAGGACATAGCAAAATCCCTGCTGGCTGCCACCTTTCCCAGACTGATATAAAAACAACCAGTTCTCCAATTCTGGATCTCTGAGTCTTGAAGTTTAAGCCCTCGATTCTAAATTTGGGCAGAGATTTGCCTCAGCAGGCAGCGCAGGTGAGCGTAATGACCTAGCGATTTCTCCAGGGTGCAACCTGCAGAAACGCTCACAAAACAAAAGCAAAACATGCAGAAAAAGCAGAATTGAGAAACGTAAAATGAAATTTCACCGCGGACCCTCTTCCCTCAAAAAGAAAAAAAACAGACAGTTATAAACACATTTATTTCTCTTTATTAAGACGAGATGCTTGACAACAGTGGAAATTTCTGTTAAGTCACAAATTTATCAACACGGCGCTCGTAAAGCCATCTTCTGGGGGCTTGAGCAGCTGAAGAGGAGAAAAATGATGTTCTCAGGGTGGCTCTGAAATGGACGGAGTGTTCTTCCTCCTCTCAGCTCATCTGCGCTAGCAGCTCCTCGAGTTCGGGTCGGGCCTTCAATCGGCTCTTGAAGTCAGCTTCGGTGTGCTGTGGAGGGAGGTGAAAAAACAAGCAAGTCAAGATCACCTCGAGTGCTTTTTTTTAAGTCAAATGGAAGATAAACGCTCTCCTGAAGGGAATCAACAAAGAGTAAAAGGAAAGACAAAGATGAGGCAAGCAGCAGGCCACGCATCGTCACCGTACGGCCGCTCTGCAGTTCAGCCGTGTCGGCTCCTCCTCACCCAGCGACCTGCTGCAGTGCTGAGGGAGCGACCAGCTGGGGTTTAGAGCATTTACCACACCAAATTTTGGGGTGTAAAGACCACACAGCAAAGAGAAAACTGGGGCAAGCTGTTGACCTTGTGTTAAGAGCAGCTACCAAACCAAAATACGCTTTCTTCAAGAGAAAAATTACATTTTGGAAGAGCGAGCGTTGGCATTGTGCTCAAGAAGTCAGCTGAAGACGTCCAGACCTGCCTCTTTCTCCTGAATTTTAGAAGAGCATCCCAAAGCTCAAATCTCTTTGCTGACAGTCTCCCGGAGCCAGCTTGGGTCTTTCCCAAGGGCTTCCTGCCTCAGACCGCAGTGACTTTGCAAATGGCACAATGTCACGGCGCTCCCTCCAGAGACAAAGCCATCAGCCAAAATTAAAAAAAGCAAAAACAAAAAAAGAAGCAGTCCTAAGGCAGGGATGGGACCGTGACCAAAGCAAAGCAGATTACTGGACTCGAGAGACCTCCTCCTACATTCCACTTTGCAGATATGGAAATAATTAAACATCCTACAAAGGCCAGTGAAGGAAACTGTTTTCACGTTTGAATTTAGCGTGCTGCTTTCCCTTTCCTGCTGCAAAATCTGCTCCCTGAATAAAAAAAAAACCTCCCCTTCTGCAGAAAAGAAGCAGAACCCCTTCCAGAATCCATCAAAACGGGGCACAGTGTTTGGTTTTCCCATCTCAGCTTTGCTGCTGACTGCTCCACGCGATTCCTGATCATTCCCAGATGAGTGGCTGTGGGTTCTGACTTGCAGGGAATCTGCCTGAACGAAGGAAAATAACTGGGAACTTGCCATCCCCTACAAATCTGTGGGACTGGCTGGGAAGGCGCCTTCTGCAGCACTAATTCTAGAAGGCTAAAAGGAAAATAAAACCCTCAGCAGGTGTTAGAGGGAACAGTTTTTGATAAATCAAGTGAGGGCCTGGTTCTGGGAGATCCTGGGTATCTGTAAGTCTAGAGCAGAGCTGGCGGCCTCAGAACAGGTCCTGTGCTTTTCAAAGCAAGCGTCACACCCGCTTTGTAAACGTGCAGATGTCAGCAAATGAAACCCACCTCTTTCACTAACAGATGGACCCCTTCAGGCTGGTTGCTCTGAATGATTTCCAGAAGTATGGGAGCAAACGTGGAGCTCAACCCGCTGACCTGGAAGAAGAAATAAAACACTGCAGGGGCAGAACTCCGAACACAGAACGGATTTGGTCTACTAACAGCACGGGAAGAGTCCACTCAGCGTGCACCTAGGGCTGTCACGCACTTCATCACATAAGCAGCCTCTTGTTTTGTTTCTCCTCTGTGAATGTTGTGCCTCCAGTGCCTCTCCTCTACCTGTGTGACAGCTTTCACCACTTCAGGCTCTACTGTGCTATTCGTTCTCTCGGTGGAAGCACATTTCTAGCCCCTTTTCCACGTTGCATAGATGCAAAGAGTCTTAACCGTGCACAGAAATCTTCTTTACTTCAGGTGAGACTAATAAAAAGCTGCCACGACAAACCTGCAAGCTCCAGCATTAGCTCACACTGACTCCCTAAAGAAAAAGTCTGCCTCAAGGTTTGGAATGTAATTCAGCAGAGCAAGGAACACACTATGAAAGAGGCACAGAAATACTTACCTCAATTAATTGTACAAATTTAAACTGATGCTAGTAATATTTTTACATTTCATCAAGTTTGCCCAATTGTTCCTCCTTAAAAATGACTTTTCTACCCCTTCTACCAAGCACTCCGCATAAAATAGGTAATAAAATAGGCTGATGTAGACAATCCAGGAATCCCTTCACTCTCTTCTACTTTCTGAGTAACTTTTAGCAAGAAATCTAATTTAGACTTCTTTGTGCTTCAGTTTACGCACAAATTACACAAATTTGGGACTTAGCTCCTGCTGTCAGTGGATTTTGAGAGCCTGGGAGAGGAGGTGCTGTACACGGAGCGCAGCCAAGCCCAGCTCGTACCTGGATAACCCTCTGGTGGGTGGTAAGGACGGCGTCCAGCTGCATTTTGGAACCTCGCTCTTCCAGGAACAGCACTTCGTTGGTTTTGGTGGGCATGGCGTAGCTGCAGGAAGCACAGGTC